AGTTACAGCCTTGATCTGAATGCAGTTCATATGGCATACCAAACCGGAAGAAGAAATCACTAATAGCAAAAGCTACAGTTGTAGCTTCCTGATTTGGTATTGCATATGCCTCAGGCCACTTGGAAGACATATTGGAGTTAAGAATACATTGAGTCACCTACGGCAGATATTTTACTGGATAGGTATGAGGAAAGATGTGGAAGAATGGAACAGGACCTGCAGTACATGTTGTGCTAAAAGGGTAAAAGGAGACCCAAGCATAAGGTACATGCTCCAATGAAGTTATAACAAGTTGGCACACCAATGGAAAGAGTAGCCATTGACATTGCTGGTCCGTTGCCCCAAACTCATGCTGGAAACAGGTACATTTGTGTGGTGATGGATTACTTCACCAAGTGGCCTGAAACATATGCAATACCAAATCAGGAAGCTACAACTGTAGCTTTGGCTATTAGTGATTTCTTCTTCAGGTTTGGTATGCCATATGAACTGCATTCAGATCAAGGCCGCAACTTCGAATCAGCTGTGTTCCAAGAATGGTGCAACTTGTTTGGCATCCGAAAGACCAGGGCAACGCCATTTCACCCACAGTCTGATGGGATGGTAGAAAAGTACAACTGGACACTTGGACAGGAACTGGCAAAGTTTTGTAATAGCCGCCAAAATGACTGGGATGTCTTACTCCCTCCACTGTTGATGGCCTATAGGACAGCAGAGCATGAAACCACTGGATAAACTCCTGCAAAGCTGGTGGTTTGGTAGCAGAAGCCAATGAGACGGAGATCAGTACGGAAGAAGATACGTCCTGTAAAATTAAAAGACTTTGTTGTATTTGAATTTTGTGTTTGTAAATTCTGTACATTTAATTAAGTTATTGTTAAATATCTATTGGTTTAATGTAAGTGGCTATTGTTCGGGACAAACAATACTAAGGAAGGGGCAGTGTTACGACAGTGGAAGTCGCGTGACGCTTGGAGCATAAGCATTGGAGTTTCTCGAAGGATCATGAATTTGTCCGGCAACTCTAGTCTGATCGAGCTGCCCTCTTTTTTAATATATAAGCCTAGCGAGAAAAACCAGCGGGGTAGATAGAGTGAAGAGAGAGATAGATGGGCACCATAAGTAAAATGTGTGAATTACTGTGATTTATAGTGTGCGTTATAAAGGTTGTTAAGTAATGCGACCAGAACACGTAGTGACTGTGGAAATTCTGTGTATTACAAAGTTTGTATAGAGAAAGAATAAACTAGTTTTAATCAAGAAGGGACTTGTATCACTGAAGTTCCTCTGAAAGAATTTATATCGGAAATTAACAAGCAAGCGGATATGTAAAAGCATAAATATTTATCAAAAAAACTTTAGATATTCATTTAGGAGTTTTTATAGGTTATGCAAATGATTTATAAAACTGTAAGATGAAAAGAGGTGTTTTTATTCTTAGTATAAAAATCACTTTTCACTCATACTGACTCAGTAAAAGCTTTGTAATTTCACAGACAAATCATTACTAAAAATGATTTATTAAAAAATAGAATTGTTTTTTCTGTACAACAAAATTGTCGTATATACTCAAAGCCTGCCAAATGTCTTGAAGGAATGCTCAATACATTCATAGTTACAGTATATGAAGTTTCATGGTTCCATGGTGGTTACCAAGTCAGTTAAATTGATCGAGCCTATATATGGGGGGTTAATTAACTTTTTTTTTTCTTTCTTGCTTGTGAAGCTGCTAAAAAGTTAATCCAAGTTTGTTAGCATGAATTACTTGTATACCTCTTTTTTAAGCTGGGATCATTTAGAAATTTTTAGCCAAATGTTGTTCACTGATGCTGTGGAAAAAAAATGTACATTCTCTATGATACACAATCTGAGATGACAATCTGACGAGAAAATAGTTACTTTTATAAGTTGTTATAATCAAAGGATAATTTAATGAGACCATTTTCAATTTATGATTGTTGTAGATTTGCAGCATACAATATAATAGGAAAATTTTTTTTAACTTGCCCTGTATTCATTTTCTGATTATTGACACAAGTGTCAATAATGTAAGTGCACATTTGACCCCATAATTTTATTAAAAGTAATCTGTGCTTTCTAGGCTGGGCATGGGTGCTTTGACTCGGGTCACTGCAACACTTCACTTTCCACAGCCTGCTCAGCTGGATAACCGTTTGCCACAGTTACACATGATTCTAGATCCTGAATGTAGCTATAATATTAGATGTGAGTTTTCTGTCAAAGAGAGCATAGGACAGGTATGTATTTGGTCTTATTATAACAACATTTGAACTTTATTCTCTCCATGTACTGATTTCACTATCTGTATTTAAAAAGATTTATAATAACAAAATGTACATGTATTACCTCATAACAAATTTACATCAATCTTGAAAGGCATTTCTTCAAACTTGTGGTATACTAAAAATGCAAAATATTTTTGATTATTATGTGTGTTTCACATACCTTGAAGAAATATTATTGTAAAAATATTCCAAAAACAAAATAGCATGTATTTCTTTTATACTATCACTGTTGATTCTATTTTGGTACTTCTGTATTATGCCTCACACAATAAAGCATTATCTAACAGAATACATTATTTTTTCACTATGTTAATTTCACATACCTCTAATAAATGTGATGTAAGAAATATTAAAAAAAAAGATCAGTTTGAACTCTCTTTTGCTTTTTCACTTATCACTGTTAATTCTGTTTGGTACTTTTAAATTGAGAAAAATATGAGATAACCATAAACCAAGAAATAGAAAACTATATACAAACTTTGTGTTTTGTTTGGAAAAATTTTATAATTGAAGTTGTCAAAATAGAACTTGCAAAGTGAAATCACTTCAAATTCATAACTCATATCAAGCATGTGAGACCTATGTTGTTTGTTAGATAACTACAGCACACCAAGTAGTTACAAATCTATGGAGATAAGTTACATTACTAACTAACCTGAACAAAATGTTTGAGAAAAAATACAGCTTTTATGACCTTATCTAATGGTATCAAAATTTGGGTGCTGGTGTTATGGTTTATTATTAGATCACATTTAATACTAGTGTAATAAACCAGATTAATACATTCTAAACACATACCAGTAGTTGTTAGTACCAGCCATTGTTAGCTGAGGTAGTATAGACAAAGATAAAATATGACAGTTAAAAAAAAACTAAGAAAAAAGTATTGCTGATAAATTATAATTTTTTACCTATGAATAAAACACTGTACATCATAACCAAATAGTCAAGATTAATATACAAAATACTCACTGACAGTAACTACTCGATCATTACAATGGCACTGCTCAGGATGAAAGTAAACGCCATAACAATCAGCTGTTTAGTATGCCAAAACAATCATTAAGTCAGAATTATTGCTAGCTGTGCTGGCAGCATGTTTAATACTCTATTTGTTTAAGTTTTGCATAACCAAATATAGACGAATACATTAAACCCTTCCATATGTGTCAGGGTCAGAGTGCATATCATCACGTTTTGTAGACTTGCATTCAAAATGTTATTAAACTACTATTTTATAAATGTATGTTCATAAATTTGGAATCAAATTGTAGTTTGTGATATTGTATCTCTTCCCATAAAATAGTGTTAGTTTGAATTATGTTAAAACCTTGTTAACTTTTTTTAAGTTTAATTTAACAATTATTGGAAAAAAAAAACACTAAATGAATATTCATGTGTTATTGATTTATTGGTGGAAATTAACATACAGTTACTTATAAAGCTTGACATGAATGTCTGTGCTACTCATATCTATACATATTGAATTTAATTGTTTATCATTTTTTTACCTTTTCTTGGAAGTACATCAGGCTGAGGTGAAAATGGTTTCTTTTCATTGAAAGTGTTGCCTGATAACAGATTGAGCGTTGAAGTATTTTTATCTAAATTTAATGCCATTTGGGAAAAAAATATTATTAAAGATTTTTATACAGATTTACAATTAGTACAAGTTTAGTTACATATACAATATATATGGGTCATCATGCTGTTAACACCACAAATCATGTATTCTTATAACCTTGTTTTGATCATTTTTGTGCCTAAAATGTTTAGTATAAATCAATAAATCTGTTGTTACAAGTTAATGTAGTTATTTTGTTGAAAGTTTAATATAAAACTCTGTTGGTTGTTTGAAACTTTGCTTGCAATGACTTGGGTTAATCAATTTTCTTTACATATATTTTGTTAATGTTTGATTTGGTATCTGTATTAAAACCGAATGCTGTTTCATATTGTTTACTAATGACTCCAAAAATGTTTGTTTATAATGTTAATCACTTTTTTAATGATGATTTGACTTTATCTTACATGAAAGGTAATTTTGTTTTGTTTCATCACAGTTTATCAAGTACTATGGTCTACTTTTACCTGGATACATGGTGGCAATTATAATGTTTGCTTATAGTAAGCAACTTCAGTGTATCAATAAAACAGGTAAGTTTCTTCAAGCTTGCGTTCTTATTTTTTAAGTTTCAGTGCATCAATAAATTAGTAAAGGATAATTTTTGCCACCAAATATAAAAATAATAATTCATTTGATGCATAAATAGAATGTAAGCACTTTTATTATCAGTAAGTGAAAATAATTAAAAAGGCATAAAATTATAATAATTACAAGTGAATATACCACATTCCTGGCTTTTAAAACCTCTAATAGAAATTTTTAGTGGTTAAAGAAAAGAGTGTAAGATTAAACCATTTGTTTCATGGGTTTCAGGACTCTGCCCATCTCTTCTACTGGCAGCACAGCAGCTTTCATCATTTGTTAGTTTGGTGATAGTACCAGTTGTGTTATATTACTGCTTGAGGTAAGTCTTGTTTGGCTGCTCTGTCATTTACTGAAGTGACTATTATTAACTTATACTAAAGTTCTTGTAGTATGAGAAACATTAATGGATCTTATTTACTGCTTCTGTGCTCAGCTAGTTGTAAATGGCATGGATTATTGCGTATGAATAACATACAACATCCTTTTACTGAAATTACACCCAGTTAGATTTTGTAAATGAATTGCAAGTATCTGTAAGTTGCTAAATAGTGTCAAGAACTTTAGGGTGTTCTGTGTATTGGCTAGTATTTTGTAACCCAATGATCTCAACTAATTTATGAACAGCATTAAATACTGTATTTACACTATACTTCACTATCAGCAAATTATCTAACTCTGTGCTATTACCTAAGCTTATGAACAGAAATAACTACTTCAATTAACCCTTATTTGACTATCAGCTAGCATTTAGTAACTAAATTGTCTCAGCTAAATGTATAAGTAGAATTAACTACTTTAGTGTACTATATATTCGATAATAGCTACTGTTTTGTAACTAAAGGGTGTCTATTGAAATTTTAAATACCTTATTTTATAAAAGCCACAAACACTAATGTATTAATGTCAAGTAGATTTACAGGGTTTTAAAGGATCAACTAAAATTTACAAGATCATTATCAGCTAACGTTTTGTAACTACATTTTGTCAGCTAAGTTTATAAACAGTATTACCTACTTTATTATACTCTATATTACATTATCAGCCAGTTTTTTGTAACAAGGTTATGTCAACTAAACTTGTTAAGCAGTATTATCTACCTTATTATGTCTTATATTACATTATTAGCTGGTGATTACATATATATATATATATATATATATGTTACAGAATTATCTTCCAACTTCACCAAAAGTAAGATTGAAAAGAAATTCCATGATGTAGAGGCCTAACGTTTTCTTTGATTGGTCATACCCACTGCTGTGGACTGCAGTTTCGATTGTTGAAGGCTCATCAGCACAGCTTGGGCTGGCTTTTTTGATTGGCCATATTCATATGGCCAATCAAAAAAACATTAGGCTGTGTGTCACAGATTCTCCTTTCAATTTTACCTTTGGTGAAGTTGGAAGAAAAATTTGTAACATATACAGGTAATCATTAAGTACTTGGTATGGTATGTAATGTGGAATAATGATTTAGGCACAAGCTCTAACATTATTCAAATACCTAAATTATTTTAGGTTACTTTATTGGTGATTGAAAAGGACTTAAAACCGCATTAATTTTCAGCTAGTGTTGTGTAAATAAATGGTAAATAGTTAAATAAAAGCATTATTATCTACTTTATTATACCCTATATTACATTATCAGCTACTGTTTTGTAACTAAACAGTGCTAAATTTATAAACACTATCTACTTTATTATCCCCTATATTACAATATTAGCTACTGTTTTGTAACTAAACAGTGCTAAATTTATAAACACTATCTAC